GCAAAGAAACACCTCTCTTAGCAAGAGAATCTGCTAGAGAATTGGCCTCCCTAGAGACAAGTTAAAATGAGATTGTCAAAGTAGCCCTTACTCCCATAACTTGGCACCAAAGGGCTCGAAATTCCCAAAGCACCCATTGTTCATTCTTGCACCAATAAGTCAAATTCGAATAATCACCTTCTACTATACAATTAACCCCAAGAATTTTGGAGGAAAAAATCTTAAGGCCTTGTAAGAGCGCCGCAATCTCAGCATGGTTAGCAGTCGCTAAACCAATAGGGCCAGCAAAAGAGAAAACTACGACCCCATTCCAATCTTTAACCACACCTCTTATCCCAACTTCACATGGATTACCATAAAAGCTCCAACCAAAATTGAATTTAAAGCAACCATGAGGTGTCCATCTACCTACCAGCCTACACTTTACTACCTTAAGACCGAAACAAATTTACAAGGTTCAGCCTCACATCCACTTCGGAAATACCCTACCCTTAGTCATAGCCAACCAACTCGAGAGAGAATGGATGATATTATTAATAACTCTATCAAAAAGAAGCACTTCCCCATTAAAGGTTCTTCCATTGCGCTCTTTCCATATCTCCCACAAAACTGCACCCTTCACAATTTTCCATATAATCTTCCCTACCTTTGGAAGAGTGGGAAATTCCAAATTAGTAACTATCCCCAAAACATTTTGAGGCAGTGCCACCCTCAACCCCAGTTGTCAAATGATTATATATCAAATTTTGGAGATAAAGTTGTAATGCACCAAAAGATGTGGCCCTAAATCACGATCCTCCTCATATATTAGATATATATTTGGAAGGACTTTACTCTCTTGGTAAGATTATCGATGGTCAATATCCTATCTTGCACTACCAACCAAATAAAACACTGAACCTTGTGAGGAATAGACCATTTTCAAATTGTAGCAGCTTGAGGCAAGGACCAATGTGAACCGTCATAGAGCAGTAAATCATAAGCTAAAACAGTAAATCATGAGCTGACTTCCCCATATATTGGTTCACTTTCAATATCCCACATCACCTCATCATCAAACCTCCTCACAATATATACGCCATTCAACTCCTTCATTAGAGATTTAAAATGTGTCATCATTCCATCATCCAATCTATTGTATCGAAAGCACAAATGTCACACAACTTGCTGGCCATTGAGATAATAAACACATGTACCTTATCAAATAACTCTGGGAAAGACACTTTCAGCGGACAATCTCCAAGTCATTTGTGATGCTAGAAGGATACTAGATTGCTCGCCCCTGTACATCAATGGATATTTGACTGAAGTAAAGGCTTACATAAAAGATACCTTTCCAAAAGATAGACCTATTTAAACCGTCTCTCCCACCCCCAATCCAAAAAGAAAATCTACCAATAACATACTTAACTGTCACAACTTTGCACCATAACTAATCTTTTAGATGAGAACTACGGCACCACTTGTATAATAATGCCGGATTCATTGGAACAATCTTTCTAATGCCCATACCACCTTCTCTTTTTCTTTTTTTTTTGAAGTGTAAATCCTATCCTCTATCCAATTGAAGAAGATGAAATTTTTTTTTCTACACCAAAGGATCCTCACATAAAGTTTCACATCATTTTCTCAATAAACTTAGCCACTTCTAACGGGGTTTGGATAAGTGACGTCTGATAAGTAGAGAGGTTTGCCTAATAGTATCTAGGCAAAGTAACTCTCCAACCCAAAGACAAGTAGCTTCCAAAAGTCTAATTTAAATTGAACTCGTTGAATGACCTTATCCCAGCCACATTAGGTCCAAACACATTCGTCAAGCACCATACAAAAGAATCATGACCATTAAAAAGAATAAAAATAGAACGAAAGGATAAATCCAAAACATGTCCCATTAATACATAGGAGTTCCAAATAGATAAAAGGTCTCTGGAGAGGACAATAGAAGGAACAAAATAAAAGTCTAATGGGCCACTGCCTCAAAAATTTCTAAGAAAATGCACATCAAGAGAAGCAATACTACAAATCAATTTACGCAGCACCCTCCTCCTCCTGACATCACCAAGGCACCGGACATTCCACGAGATCATTAAGGATGAAAACCTCCACCCCCTAGTGGCCCAGTGGCACCAGTAGCAAGTGGGTCAAAAGACAAGTCAGCAACCAGATCATCAACCTCCTTTTGCAATCGATTGGGAGGCCTCCGAGGACAGGGATTCTGAATCACCGGGACATCGACCAGAGCAATCGCTTCTTCCACCAACCTAATCTCTCATTTGAACTGGACCTTCATACCTTTCAGCATCTTAGCCGCTCACTCTCAAGCCACACCCCTCTTGAAGGCCTTGATGGACCACTTTGCAACGTTTGGGGGAAGATCCTCCTCAAAGGAATCTAAAGACTCTGTGACCAGGATAAGCCTATAAAAAAGGAATTGTGTCTATCCAAAATATCTACACCTTATCTTTCTATCTCTCTCTTTTAAGAAAGTTTCTCTCTCATGTTTGATCTTTCTCTCCCACATTGTGAAAGAACCTAAGGGTTTAGGTTATGAAGTTCTTCTCTCTTCTATCTCTCAAATTTGGATTTATGACTAAGGGTTTTAGGGTTTAGCAAAAAGAGAATCCATCTCTCTCAAACTAAGTTGTTAAAAGAATTCACCTAGGGTTTGAGTTTGTGATCAAAGGGGTTCATGTTTCATTGGCATGGTTTGGCCGAAATTTACTTTCTCGGTTCGAGATTGAAGCTACACCGTTGATCCTATGCCATAGGATAGTGGTGACTCAGTGTAGGGTGTAATAAACCCAGTTGAAGTAATCTCCGACACTCTTCTTTTTGTTTCTTGCAATCTTATATTTTATTCTCAAACATAGTATATAGTTGTTTCAATGACATCAAGTTATTAAGATCTTGGCTCTATTGTTATGTTGATTTTATTAAAATTTATTTTATTATAAAAAAGACCATATGCAAGTGATTTTTTACCAAAAAAAATATATATATACATATAATCCAATAAAAAATCACATAAATTTTTCTTTTAAAATAGATTCTATGCACGGCTAAAATAAAAGAGTGTGGTGATCGAACCTGCATGTCTTATGACGGGAGAAAGGCAAAACAAGATGGGTTTAAGTACTTTTTCGAGGGCACCCATCCCACCATCATAATACCCGCCGCCTTCAAATCCTCTAAAAAAAATTTTTCGGGTATGGGTACAGGTTCAATTGGAGCCGACCCGTTGCCACCCTAACAGACCCCTTATTAGTTTAGAAACCAAGGTCCAAGGCTGATCCGATGCATCAACACAAGTATTCTTGTCGACACCCAAGTTGCTGGAGGAGGACTCCTTCGAAGACGAAGGGAACGACGACACAAACACTAGAGGGGATGCCCCCTGTTCTCAACCTGGATAGAAACACCAAAATAATCACTGGCTACCTTTAAGATAATCTTATTTGGGATAGGGGTGCCTAGTGTTGGCTGAATCTTCAACCAAAGAATCCCAAAGGTCAATCCACTTGAGATTATCTAGTCAAACTCAATGGTAGTGAACACCTCTTTGGTCCAAGCCTAAATAAGAATACCCAAAATTTTCACCCAAGCGGCAAAAAAATGGATGAGAAACTCATTGTCCTGATTAGACTATTTTTCGCCATTATGAGAACACCTTTGAACCTCCAGAAATGTTGTTTAAGCACCCATAAGGTATCGTTTTTGTTCAAAAAGAATAAGAGCTTTGCTCGGGAGCGCTTGCCAAGACTCCAAAGCTTTTGCTCCAATGTCAATAATTTTAGCCCCATGGAAGTCCAAAACCTCTTCCTTATGAGAGGGCACAAAAGAGGGAAAACTCAACTTCTGGGATGCGCCAAGACCAAAGCAAATCTCCTTCCATTTTCCCCAGGAGTCGGAGCACCACGAACCATTTAGCCAGTAACCCTATGCAAGCCACCAGACAAATGGTTAGAACCAGAACCCCCACTAGAAGGTGAATCCTATTTTCTCCCTTCACAAAAAGCACCCAAATGGCCAGAACTGGGGCAACTTAAACCAAACCTCATAATCAATAGCTAAAGCACAAAAGCAGAGAAAGAAGGGCCAGAGAGGAAGGAGGGCCAGAGAGGACAGTAGATAGAGAGTGAAAGAGCTCCGCCATCACGCTTACCTCTCAATCCGTGGGACGGCTCTTTTATGGACCACTAGCTACGCTCTCTTAAGCACTTGTTGCATCACAGATGTTAACAAACATCGGTTTCATACTCCATGGAAAATCATATGCATCAACAAATTCCCCCTCAGAAAGAAAAACAAAAAACAATCTCAATGGTCTCCATCGAGACCCCTGGATCTAACAACGGCCCTGGAACACTGAAGGAGCTTGCATCGAAATTTAATTTTGCCAAACCCTAATATAGAAGATGAGACAGGAAATTCAATTTTGCCAAACCCTAATATAGAGGATGAGACAGGAAAGTGGGCACGCACCTGCTACGAACAAGCTCACAATGCAAGAATAAGCATTGGAGTGATTCATCATCACATTTGCCCAGCATGCATCTATTCATAACATAATACCGCAAGGCATGAGATAGTTGACAGTAATGGCCTTGTTATGAATGGCAAGGCGCCCAAAAACCCTGGCTCTAGCTAGCCTATCACTAGCACCGCGAACCAGGCAAAGTGAGGCAAACCAATATTTATAGGCATACACTGAATTCACCAGGGAAATTGGGAGCCAAATCATGGCAAATCTCCAGGATTGGGTATGAACACCTCATAAAGAAGTGCCACGAGTCCTTGAAAGAATCATATTAGATAAATTACTTCTAAAATCATGGCTTGACAAGCCAAAAATATTTCTTCCGCATAGATAGCCAACAGATATATCACAGATACAGAGAGATGCATTCTCTTTACTGAGTGGGATACAGTAGTTTCTGTAGGTCCTGCATTCTAACAAAGTTCTTCCACAAACACGTACACCAATTAAACTGAAATTTAGATAGTGTCCCATGCATAAATGCCTTATTACTGGTACCCAAAAGTCAAAGAACCAAGAAGAAAGACTTCAAAAGAAGAAAGCAATGCATTATACATGAAGCGGAAACCACTGTTTTAAAAAGAGGAAAGCATGAAGTGCAGACCAAAGAGAGGACCAAAGAGAGTTTAACACCAACTTTCCTTGGGCAAACATATATCCAGGCAAGAGTGCATTATTCATGACCAAAAATTTACCTCTCCCAAAAATTGGAATGTATAAGAAACAAATTCAACTAAAATTACATTGCATTCCGTTTCTGTAACAGTGTCAGAAACGGAATGCAATCTCCACATTTATTTCATCCACTGAAAGATAGTGATAGATCAAGCAGAGGCGGTCTTATTTTGCTGGAATATGACTGCATATACTGGGACGAATACACCAATGCCAAAGCAGGTCCACACCATAAGAGTCATCTTCAGCTTCTGATGCTTCATCCTGTCCAGGTTATACATGTGCTTTGCGTGAAGGTAATATGGCTCTGAGTGATCACCATGTCCTCCCCCCATTTTCTTGATCCCAGTCGAATGTATCTCTCGTGAAACTGTTCCAGATAATTTGAAAGTCAAACGAAAGACCAGAAGCATGGAGTGTAGCACTGAAACAAAATCTAATTTAGCATAGAATTGTTTGGATTGGAGCATATTAGAGGGTCTCCTATGCATCATGCGTAGAGGATTTGAACAGAAGAATTATTGATGGATACATCAAAAATTCCCAATAGTGCATCACTTCTTGAGCTGCATTCAAGAAAGTCAAAGGTATACATAGGCCACTTCAGCTATGACATGCAATATTCTTGTTGGTAATTCAGGTTCATAGGAGGAAAGGAAAATAGCAAAGAGAAGAAAAAAAGATGTGGATCCTGTAAAAACCATTCATTTCTCTCCTTTGGTTACACAGAAGGACCAGCATACATGACACGTTCTAATAAAATGGCATATGATGATCAATCTAAATTCTATAATCTCACAGCATACATGGATTCAAGAAATATCATTCATATACCAATACCTAGTCTCCTGTCAGAATCAATAGAACCAATGGCCATTTCTTAATCAAAGAACATAAAATACAAATAATGATGGAAATCACCTAAGAGGTATGAAACAGCAAGTATCAAAATTTAATAAATAATGTCCATCATATTGTTCTTTAGATCCCTAATAATGTTCACATGTTAAGAGACTATTTATCTTTTGTACATGGAGGTCACAATCATTCTTGTTCCTTGAATTTCAAAATGGTTTAAAGTGGATGTTGTCAAAGAGTCATTGAATAGATACAAAGTTCAAACAAAGAAAAATTCTCAAACTTCATGACTCACCCCAAGCCATCCAATTTGACAAAATGATTATGACCTCCATGTATCTATTAACTTCCCTTACAATATGAACAAAATCGCTCATGTAAAAATTACAAAGAATGCCCTTCGCTTCTTATACAATCCTCGCCAGTTTCCATGGGCTAGGATTCATTCATCCCTTGAGCCCTCTCCTGGTATTTAAGGAGTCTCCTGTAATGAGTGGGGTATGACAGTTAACTAGTCCAGCACTTTTAGAGTTGCATATACTGCAAAAGTGCTTCACTGTGGTACCATCTGTATTAGTGACGAACCCATCATTAATCAGCAAGCCCTTAGTTGCATAACCTATCTATGTTATAGGATTTGTACATTCCTTTCCTTATCATCCAATGGTTGCATCATACAAAGAAAGAGATTTTCATATAATAACTAATTCAATGTTAAGGATTAATAACTAATTCAATGTTAGGGATTTGAACATTCCCGTCTTTACATCCTAAGTATATTAACATTGGATGGAAGTGTGATCTATTGTCTCAAGAGCAGATTATTACACATGGACATTTGTATTCTTGTACCTAAAGTTTTCGATGGTTATTAACAAGTATTTTGTCCTTGAAAACAAGCCAACAAATGGTAAAAGTGTAGGTCTTCATTCTCAATAAACTCTGCATCTCCAAGCAGCTTAAGATAGATAAAATGAATAGAAAATTAGCTAGATGGTTCCAAGTCCTATGTGATTGTGTCCTCCTATTGCCCTTTACCACCCATCATTTCAGATTTTGTATGCAGACCGGATAAGACCCAACATTCCATCTAAGATCAATATTCCAATTTGTACTATGCGGGCCTCCGAAAATTTGCTTCCACTGCTATCACGAAGTGAATTCTAGAAGCTTCTCAGCTCTAATATATCTTACCAAATCAGCATCTCTGGCCACTACTGATAATTGTCTTTAGACTTACCTTCATATCCTCTCCAAGTGTCTAAACATTAGTTGCTTTCTTCCATCTACCATCATTTTACACTTTCTGATAATTGAGAGCACGCGCTCACTCTTGGAGACAATCACAAACTCAAGGTTTTCTCTTATATATCATTTCACATATTCATCCACAGGTTACATACAAGTTACATACACTCGTTCCTTTCACAGGTTGCACATATCTACAACCACATGCACACATCATTTCAATACATAGAGCCCATATATATAAGTGTTTACAACAAAAACTACCCACTACTTACGGGATTGGATAACAACAAACCATTACCTACATGGTTGGATAACAACTACCCATTAACACATGAAGAGAGAGATAACTACCCACGATCTTAACTACCCCCACATTCCACATTTACGTAGAGAGAGACAAAGACACGACTCCACATCTCCTATTATTCAGCAACATCTACTAGAAGAGAGAGAGAGAGAGATAAGAAAGACATGCACATGCACCCCACATCTCCTATTATTTTGCATCATCTTCAACACTTCCCCTTGATGCAAAATTTCATCTTTTTCCTTTAAATTTCTTGTTCTTGCTTCTTGTTTCTTCTTACTTCTTCTTTTGCTTCTTGCTTCATTTTCTTCTACTTTTTATTTTTTTTTAATGTTGCTTCTTCTTCTTCTACTTGCTGCTTGCTTCTTGCTTCTTGCTTCTTGCTCTTGCTTTTGCTTTTGCTTTTGCTTTTGCTTTTGCTTTTGCTTGCTTTTGCTTTTGCTTTTGCTTCTGCTTCTACTTCTTTCTTCTTGCTTCTTCCTCTTCTTCTTCTTTCTTTCTTCTTTTTTTTTTTTCAAAAAAACACTTCTTTTTTTTTTTTAATGCCTTCTCATGGCATTATCATACCTTTTCATGACATGACAAACTAGGACTTCAATGTTCTGTTTTTCTAAACACAATTTATTTTTTGTGCCTTCTAATTAGGCACCCTTTTTATGCCTTCTCATTAGGCACCCTCATGCTTGTTCATGGCATCATCATGCCCTTTCATGACATGACAAACTAGGACTGCAATGTCCTGTTTTCTAAATACAATTTCTGTTTTATGCCTTCTCATTAGGTACCCTCATGCCTTTTCATGACATGACAAACTATAATTGCAATGTCCTATTTTCATTTTTTCAAAAAACGTTTTTCCTATACCTACACTATGCATGGATTTCCCATCATGCGTTTCCATGGCACGACATACCAGGACTGCAGTGTCATGTTTTTCTTTTCTTTCCCAAAAATCATTTTCATTTTTCCTATGCCTACATAGGCATGGATTTCCTATGAGGACTACTCGTGTCCCCCTTTCAAAATTGTTTTTTTTAAATCTCATTTTCTGAAAGGTTTTGCAAAAACACAACATCAAGAGCTCTCCAAATTTGTTTCCCCAATTTCTTTTTTATTTTTATTTTTTACATCTCCATCTTTTTTTTCCAAGAACATCACATCTAAGATTTTTTTTTTTTTGTTCCTTTTTTTTATTGCAAATCACCTAACATTTTAATCAAAATATTTTTTTTCTTTTTCAAAATCACCTTGTTTTTTTTATCAAGACCCAAATGTTTTCATTTTAATTTTCCAATACTCATAAAATTCAATTTTGAAAATTGGAATCAATAGTTGAAAAATATTTGTACTACTATGGTGTGCCATATGGAATAAAGCACGAAATTAAATATAGAAATTTGAATTTTGATCACCTTTCCCTTGAATTTTTTTTCTGACCTGTTGGATTAAATTTCCACCCCAATTTCTTTGGCAACCTGTGATCTCCTTATCTCCTTTTTGGCAACCTTAGCTCTCCAATGCCTATATTTTTCGTAACCTGGGCTCTCCAATGACAATCCTCAACTTGGGCTATCCACGCCAATGCCTATCTTTTTCTTTTTTTTCACAACTTAGGCTCTCCACGTCAATGCCTATCTTTTTTTTCACAACCTGGGCTCTCCACGCCAATGCCTATCACCTTTTTACAACCTACGATCTGATACCATGTTGAAAATTTTATGGACAAAGCTCTGATGCCACTGATAGGCACTTCTTTTTAAGTATGCGTAGCTGCTACCACTTTGGGTTATTTCGCAAAGCACACACTCACTCTTGGAGATAAACACAAACTCAAAGGTTTTGTCCACATATATCATTTCACATATTCATCCACACGTTACATGCACTTGTTGCTTTGCACATATCTACAACCACAAGCACAGGTTGCACATATCTCATCCTACAATGCCCATTTATAGGCGTCTACATCAATTATGCAACCACCCACAACTTACGTGACTGGAAAACAACTATCCATTACCTACATGATTGGAGAGATAAGAAAGACACGCACATGCACCCCACATCTCCTATTATTTTGCATCATCTTCAACAGGTTAGGATACCTGGCTTTCACTCAGACAACCCAGTCTCAAACACCTAGTTGAAATTTTATGGACAAGGCTCTGATACCACTGATAATTGAAAGCATGCACTCACTCTTGGAGATAATCATAAACTCAAGGTTTTCTCATATATATCATTTCACATATTCATCCACAGGGTACATACAAGTTACATACACTCGTTCCTTTCACAGGTGGCACATATCTACAATCACAGGCACACATCATTTCAATACATGGGGCCCATATATATAGGCGTACACAACAAAAACTACCAACTACCTATGTGATTGAATAACAACTACCCATTACCTACATGATTGGATAACAACTACCCATTAACACATGAAGAGAGAGATAACTACCCACGATCTTAACTACCCCCACATTCCACATTTACTTAGAGAGAGAGATAAGGACACGACTCCACATCTCCTATTATTTAGCAACATCTACTTACAGAGAGAGATAAGAAAGACACGCACATGCACCCCACATCTATTATTTTGCATAATCTTCAACACTCCCCTTGATGCAAAATTTCAACTTTTTCTTTTAAATTTATTTTTCTTGCTTCTTGTTTCTTCTTACTTCTTCTGCTTCTTGCTTCTTTTTCTTCTACTTTTTTTTTTTTTGCTTCTTCTACTTGCTTCTTGCTCCTTCTTCTTTCTTTCTTTCTTTTTTTTAAAAAAAAAACACATTTCTTTTTTCTTTTTTTTTTTTATGCCTTCTCATGGCATCATCATGCCTTTTCATGACATGACAAACTAGGACTTCGATGTCCTGTTTTTCTAAACACAATTTCTTTTTTATGCCTTCTCATTAGGCACCCTCATGCTTTTTCATGGC